GTGTGGCTTGAGCATATATGAGACATCAAAGCCCTCCTCCACAGTTTCATGCTCCCTCCAATAAGACCATGCTGACTCCAACAAGGTCACACCTCCTTATAGTGCCACACCCTTTGGGAGACATTTTCTTTCAGTCCACCACAGCAACTTCAACTTTAAATTTTAAAAATGTTTCCTCTCAGTTTTACCCTGCCACCTGCAGAAAAGCATCCCAAGAAACAAGATGCTTTATCCAAACTCATGGTTTTATATAAACTCCCTCAAGGACCCAACCAAGGTCTGGGTCTCATTCCCTTCATAACTTGTAGCTTAGACTTCATGTCTGCACTCTCCTATAGGTTTCCTCTGGATTCCAAGAGGACTAGTAAAGCCAAACAGTGAATTGACACCAGAGGCATCAACCTGGTAACAAAAGAGGGACCATCACCACATCATGGTGTCTCTTCATAACAGTAAAAACCCTAAGACACCAGGTCTCTGTGATGAACATGGCTGCCCTGGCTGTGGCACATTTTAATTATAATTATAGTAATTGTAATTTAAATTCAACTGTGGTGATTGCAGTATTGTAATCACAATATGATGACAAAATTGGAATTCTATCATTAATTGAATTGACTTTAGATGTTTTTGACAGTCATATATTTTCTGATACGTTCAAACCTATGTCCAGTTTGCCTATAGCAATGGTACAACTTACAAAAATATAAAATATAATCATAATATACACATTTTCCCATTTATCTGTGGACCAGTAGCCAGAGCTTGACAATTATTCTTTTTTTTACATTGTCAATACTCCTAGGATGACTCATTTTTACTTCCAACATATTATTTCCTATAGAAATACTAACTGCTAGAAGGCCCATTACAGTAGGGATTCGACACAGCGCATTATCACATATTGCATTAAAAATAAGTCCTCATTGTATATATGCCAAACATTCTTTACTTATTTGTTCTCAACAAGTCAAAATCCAAACTAGAATGCTAGAAGGCCCATTACAGTAGGGATTCGACACAGCACATTATCACATATTGCATTAAAAATAAGTCCTCATTGTATATATACCAAACATTCTTTACTTATTTGTTCTCAACAAGTCAAAATCCAAACTAGAGACAAAAAGGGAGACATTACAGTAGATATGGAAGAAATTCAGAGAATCATAAGGACATACTTTAAAATCTGTATTCCACCAAACTGCAAAACCTAAAGGGAATGGATGAATTTCTTGACATAGACAAGCTACTAAAGTTAAATTAAGAAAGTAAATAATTTAAATAGACCTATAATATCCAGTGAGGTAAGTAGTAATTAAAAATCTCCCAATAAAACCTGACTTTGGACAGGTGGATTCAATGCAGAACTCATCGGATTCCCAAAGAAGAACTAACACCAACATGGCTCAAACTGTTCTGTAAAGTAGACAAAGGAAGGGACTTTCACAAATCATTTTTAAAAGTCAGTATGACTCTGATACTAAAACAAAAAACAACAACAAAAAATAAAACTGTAGGACATTATCTCTGATAAACATAGAGACTAAAGTTCTAAATACTTACGAACTATATTTAAGAACTCATCAAAAATATTACTGAAATGATTGAGTCAGCTTCATCCCAGAGCTGCAGGGATCATTCAACACACATAAATCATATATAGACTGAAGGACAGAAATCCCATGATTTTTCTCAGTCAATGCATAAAAGGCCTGTCTTAAAATCTAACATCCATTCATGAAAAAAGTCATGGAGAGACTAAAGATACAGGAATCATTCCTGAATTCAATAAAAGCAATATGCAGGAAGTCCACAGCCAACATCACTTTAAGTGGAAAAAAAACTCAAAACATTGCCACTAAAATCAGAAAGAAGACAAAGTTATCCACTCTTCTCATTAGTGTTCATTCAACACAGTACTTAAAGTTGTAGCCAGAGCAGTAAGACAAACAAAGGGAATTAAGAGGACATGTATAGGAAAGGAAGAGACAAAGGGCTTTAATTTGTAGCTGATTATGAAGGAGCCTGGAAAACGCAACCAGAAAAACACTACACATGATAAATACATTCAGCGATGTAGTGGGATACAAAATAAACCCCCAAAACCAACAGCTTTCCTACATATAAATGAGAACCCATTGAGAAAGAATACCATGAGTCATTTAAAAAATAAATCCTGGAATATACCAAACCAAAGAAGTAAAACACTTGTACAATGACAACTTTGAAACACTGGAAAAGAAGGAAATGATAATAATATGGAAAGACCTACTATGTTCATAGATGGGCAGGTTTAATATGAAAATATCCATCCTACTCAAAACATTTTCAATGAATTCTACATCAAAATCCCAATACAATTTCCCTCAGAAATTCATCAATACTAAATTTTATGCAGCATTACAAAATGTGTGGGGTAGCCAAAATAATACTGAACAATATCAACAACAAAATCACTGGAGGCCTCATCATTCCAGATTTCAAGTTATACTGAAGAGCTATAGTAATGAAACTTGCATGGTATAGGAATAGAAAAAAAAAAGGCTCATTAAATTGAGGACTCACTTATAAACCCACAATTCTGGGAACTCCTCCCCTTGGCACTGAACGAAACTCTTTGACAACACTGTTGATTAACCGTCTGGTGAGTGGTTCAGAAATACAACTTTTGAGAGCAAATAATACAGTGTGGAAGGAAACATTCAATGAGTTATCTCTTTAAAAGAGCAAGGTAGGTGCATCTGTGTGGATGGGAAGAATTGTCTTAAACCTCTATGATCCACAATCTCATAAAACACCTCTTCCTCAATCGGAATGCTCACATGGGTCTTTCTTGTAGTTGTATTTTTTAACCTCATTTGAGTTCACTAAGCTTTTCAACCTAGCCCAGGGACAAGGCATCCTACTCGGCGACTGCTCTCTGCCTACACCTCCCAGAATCCTCCTCATCTCCTAGACCCACCTATCTTGCTTCTTCCCTATTGGCCAACAGTGTTTTATTCATTAACCCATAAGAGAAACATATGTACAGAAGACTTTCCCCATCATATTGTGTTTATGGCTTTGGCATAATGTATGTCCTGGCGCTTTAAGGTAGAATGATATGGAGTGGCAAAAGGTACAAGTTACATTCATGAATAGTGACGATTTTAGATGAAGAAGAGAAAGTCTTCTAAAGCAGGTGGTCCAGGAATTAGCAACCTGAAGACTGCCTAGATCTGACCTAGAGATGGGTGTCATGTGAATAGACGAGCAATCTCTGATAACTGTGAAATGCCACAGGAAGTTGGGCCAAAGATTTGGAAATATCTGAGGCCATCTAAGACTACTGATCATCTGTCTAGAATACAAATATCACAGTGCAAGTATTTAGGAAAAAAAGAAGAATGAGACTTAGTCAGAGAAGAGGTATCCCAGAGTGTGGTTTGATTGAAAACCTGAGATTTATTGAACAGATCTAAGCAGAACAAGATTCTGCTTTATATCTGGCAGGAGGTGAACCCCAGCTCCATGGCTGCTTCTGACTGGAAAAAGATGCCTGATGTACAATGACGAGAGAGGGTCAAAGTTCCAGATTTCTGGATGACAGCAACAGGATGTTCCCAAGGAGTTATCCTCTTACTCGATTGCATTACCCAACATGCCTAATTATGCTGAATTTCTTTGACAATGTTAACAACTTTCTGAAAATGGAAGACTAATAGCTCTTAGTCAGG